GAGCTACAGATAGCCCATTGTGTAGCTGTGTGCTTAAGTTCAAACAAACAAAAAAATCAAATAATATATATATAATGAATTTCAAAAAAAGACCCAAAACTCGAGTGCTTTCTGGAAGAAGAATACTCAACTCTTCGAAAGCGCTAGAGTTTTGGGTCTTTTTTTAATTCATTGCACCTTTTGTGTGTGATCCTGTGTCTAACTCTTTCATCAATATATATATATATATATATAAACACATATACATATGTACATAAATATTGGTTATTTTGTATATAAATGAAGGTATCTAAAACGAATAGACCAACACTAAGAAAAAGACCCAGGATTTAGAATAGGTATGAAATGGATTTCAGGATTATACAGAAAATCTCTACTTTTTATGAGTTCCCACCACCATCTCATTCACTGAATACAGAACCCAATTCTTCGGTTCACCATCGATAGTGATAACACATCAGGCAAACAAAAAAAAATTTTGAAAGTGCTTAACACAGGAGTATCACAGGCTTACTGCCTCACTATAAAAACGATCTTTATCTTTGATCATCCAATACAACCAGCTGGATATTTATCAAATACAACCAGAGAGGGATCGATCAAATTCTGTCTATGTTGGACGCAGTTATTGACACGAATAAAAAAAAACACCCTGGGAACGCGAAATGTTTACGGAATTGTAAAAATGAAAACACACCTCCTAACATTACAGTAACGTCATAATATCCATTGACAGCTTCTAAGTTTCAGACTTCATTCATCTAGGATGTAGGGTTCATCATTTACAATCATATATCTATATATATATTCTACTAGTTATTTTACATTTACTTTAAAAGGGATATTGTTTGTTTGTTTTTTTAATTTCGCGCAAAGCTACACGAGGGCTATCTGCACTATCTGTCCCTAATTTAACAGTGTGAGACTAGAGGGAAGACAGCTAGTCATCACCACCCACCGCCACCTCTTGGGCTACTCTTTTACCAACGAATAGTGGGATTGACCGTAACATTATAACGCCCCCACGGCTGAAAGGGTGAGCATGTTTGATGTAACGGGGATTCGAACCTGCGACCCTCAGATTGCGGGTCGAGCGCCCTAACCACCTGGCCATGCCGGGCCTAAAAGGGATATACACTAAAGGTGGAAGTTAAGTTTTCATAATAGCTTGAGTAGTACCTGATGAAACTTCTGGTCTTTCTACTGTCCGGTCCACGTCATGAGAAAACTTTGAATAAACTGGTTTAACGTCTATGATCATGTCAGCTTTAGATGAACCAGCTACACATGTGTACTTGCCGCTGTCTTCTAATCTCAGTGACTTGATGGTCATTGCACCAGTAGGTGAGATTTTATACTTGTTCTTTTGCGTTAACCTCATATTTCCTTTAAACCACTGTACTAGCGACCTATCGTAACCTGATACTGGACAACGAATTTTGGCATCTGATCCCGAGTAAAGAGTAGCAATGCCACCAATCTTGAGGTTAACTCTCTCTTTAGGATAGCTCTGGGTGTAGGATTGTTGTGTAATTTCAATGTGGGGATCTTTTCTATCTCCTAATAAGTTAGACCCCTCAACTGTTATGCCTTCCCTCGAGTTTTTGAAAGGTAAAGGTCTGACAATTAAGGTTATATCTGCTTTTACAGACCCCGCCCTACAGGTGTACTGTCCTGCATCCATAAGTGATATGTTTTTTATTTTAAGTGTTCCTCTGTTACTAAAACGATATTTTCGACTCGCTGCCAGATCCTTCTGTTCTTTCTGCCATCGAATGTGTGATCTGTTAAATCTTTGGACAGGACATCTGATTCTAACAGTCGTTTTTTCTAAAAGAACCGCTCGGCCTCCAACGTTCAACTTCACGTTCTTGTATGGTTCTTGTTGGATATAGTCTTGCTTTGAAATCTTGATGTAAGGTGGCCCTTCATTGCTGGTTTTATCTTTTTCTTGACAAGGTTTGATTCCACAAACTTCCTGCATAACTGGTTTAGCATCTCCTTGGCAACTAGACTGGGGTTGGTTTATTTTGTTCTCAAAAGGAATTACTTTAACACACTTTACTTTTCTGGTTCGTATTCCTCCACCGCACAGGTGAGAACACTGAGGAAAACATTTTAAAAACATGTTAATTCAGAACGATTAAAAGTTAAAATAAAGTAAGAACTAAGTCGCAAAAATTAATAATAGTAACATTTAATAATAAGAATCTCTAATTGAAAGAAAAGAAAAATGTATAATAATACATCAACCCACTACATCTGCTACATCCAGTGCCGACGAGGCCTTTCGTCCATTACCAGGGCTATTCAGGCCGGTTAGGACACGATAGAAACAGTAGTGATTGAGACACTATTTGTATTAGCAAATTGCTTTACAACAACGAGTACGTGTAAGCTGGATTAAGTTGGGTGTAATTTTTAATAAACTACTGTTGACATTGTCCAGAGGCATAGCCCCGAAAGATGTCACTGTATAAGGTTGTTTCTACTACAAGAGCACGTGAAAATCTATTTTCGTAGTTTTCTTTGATGTCACGTTTTAGATATTTTCAATACACGATACTTGAAACGAGTACAAATATTTGTTTTACCTTAACTCAAAATGTTTAAACTCGTTTAATCAACTACTTTAACGCAGAACACTCAATGCACATGTTAACTGGTGTTATTATGTGTTCTTACAGACAGGTAATCAATCAGAACAGTATCCCGTATATCGCGACGTTTGTTTAGTTAAAATTAATGTGCCTTATTTCGTACTGTTGGATAAGGTTTGAAAATTATAAACAAAATTCTGAAGAGGAATAACAATGAATAAATAAATGTATTATTTTGTCGAGTTAATATGATTTTTTAGACCGGGAACAGAAAACCAGGAGAAACAAAGTTTTCTTTGAGAAATTACCCCATTAAAAAACATATTTTTAGTAAACTTGATTAACTTATTTTTGTCATCAAAGTATAATTTTGGCTAAGTACTAGAATAATATATCGTTCGTTATATTGATATTAAATAATTATGCAATATCGCAGTTGATAATTCCAAAGGTTAAATTAGTTGATAAATCCAAAGGTTAAATCAGTTAATAAATCCAAAAAATCAATCAGTTGATAAATCCAAAGGTTAAATCAGTTGATAAATCCAAAGGTTAAATCAGTTAATAAATCCAAAGGATAAATCAGTTGATAAATCCAAAGGATAAATCAGTTGATCAATCCAAAGGTTAAATCAGTTGATAAATCCAAAGGTTAAATTAGTTGATAACTCCAAAGGTTAAATCAGTTGATAAATCCAAAGGATAAATCAGTTGATAAATCCAAAGGTTAAATCAGTTAATAAATCCAAAAGATAAATCAGTTGATAAATCCAAAGGATAAATTAGTTGATAAATCCAAAGGTTAAATCAATTAATAAGTCCAAAGGTTAAATCAGTTGATAAATCCAAATGTTAAATCAGTTGATAAATCCAAAGGGTAAATCAGTTGATATATCCAAAGGTTAATTGAGATATCCACAAAGAAGATGGTCTTAAGCCTCAAAAAACATTTTTCAATGTACATTCTCCAGTGATCTAACTATCTTGTATTTGTTTTCTTTTCACACCAAAAAACTCAGAGAGAATTTTTGAGTATTTGTTAAAACAAGTTGCTTTCAACTGATCGTATTTTACAATCACAAGAAAAATAATTTTCTTTGTACTTCAGAGTACAATATGCATAAGAACAATGGTTTGTGCATTATAGTAACATTCCATATTTTCATGCTCGTTAATTATTGGATTAATTAACAAATTATAAAATCAAGTCAACTATACTCATCTAGCGTTATATAAGTCACGAATTTCATTAAAACTAGGGTTAGTTATATATGGTTTTCTTTCGCCATTTTACGTCTAGAAAATGTTCACACTGACCTTCTTATGGTTTCTGATGTATTCCAATTAACCGTTTTATGGTTTCTGTAACAAAAACGCATCGCTCAATTGAGTTTGTTCACTTTACTGCCACCCCTCCAGAGGCTTAGTGATAACTCTCACAACTTACAACGCTAAAATTAAGGTTTCGTTACACGCGGTGGGCAGAACACGGAAAGCCGATTATGTAGCTTTATGCTTAATAATAAACAAACAAACTCACTTTACTCCACACTCCAACCAGCCACCTGGCAGGAAAGGTGGATAATAACAAACAAACAAACTCACTTTACTCCACACTCCAACATGCCACCTGGCAGGAAAGGTGGATAATAACAAACAAACAAACTCACTTTACTTCACACTCCAGCCTGCCACCTGGCGGGACAGTCGATAATAACAAACAAATAAACTCACTTTACTCCACGCTCCAACCTGCCACCTGATGAGACAGTCGATAATAACAAACAAACAAACTCACTTTACTCAACACTCCAACCTGCCACCTGGCGGGACAGTCGATAATAACAAACTCACTTTACTCCACGCTCCAACCTGCCACCTGGCGGGACAGTCGATAACATTGCAATATTGTTGAGATCTCGGTGGAGGTTGTGGACACAAGTTATTCCGAAGAACTATTAAACCTCGTTCTTTACGTCCCAACTGTTGAATACACTGAACTTTCCGGTTCTGAATTCCGCCTCCGCAACTCTTGGAACATAGGGAAAACTCCGTCAAGTTCCATCTGAATAAAAGAGTAGTTTTATTAGTGTAATTGTATTTTTACTTCTTCTTTTTTTGGTAGAAGAAAGAGGTATTATTTTGTTCTTTTAACAAACACAAAATTGTTACTCTGGATTGAAACCACGTTTATTATGATAAAACAAGGGAAAAAAAAGAGATAATAGAAATCAATCTTCGGTTTTCTATCATTTATTAGTTTATTCAAGTGTGAGAGTCTTAAATAATTCAATCCCTTAAAATTCCTCCTCACCCCTCCCGGCGATTCGCGGGAAGCTAGAAGGCTTACATCTAGTTTCATCCTTGCTGCAAATACTGTATAAATTTCTTTTACGTGGCTTTGTGCTAAAACAAACCTAAAACAAAAAACTCAACATGGCAGGTATTTAGTTTGAAGGAAGAGAAAGTAACATGATAGTTGCCTGTTCTTCCCAACAGGGGGTGCTCGGTTGTTCTCCTTCAACCCCACACGCGTGAGAATAATTTGCTACAGTGGTTGCAATTACGATTAGAAACAAAATGGCGGGAAGTTTTGAGAGAAAAAGCTGTGAAGAATGTCGTCAGAGTTTTTTTTTTTCCAGTGGTGGGGATGTAGACGAGGCGAGACAGAAAGATCCAGACATGTATTAAGTTGACATCATATGAATTTAGGAAATCATTTTATTTTAGGTAGGCTTTATTGAAACGAAATTTAAGGAAATGATTGGTTTCTGACATATTGTAGGTTATTTTACAGTCATATTCTATAAGTGGGCGAACAAACGTTTTGTACATTTTTTATGGATGTTTCTTACCTATAAATTAGTCTTATGTAGTTGATACGTTTGCTAATAGAGTCATGTATGTTTTAAATATGTTTGTTCCATGTTAGATGGGTATTACAGGTGATACCGAGGAATTTGATGTTGTTACTCACATTTATTTGTGTGTCTCTTAGTATAAATTTGATTTCTTGAGAGTTTCATGTGTTTATGTAATTTTTTGAAAAATGTTCTTGCCTGTGTTTTTGTTGGATCTAATATAACTCTCAATTTGTTACGCCATTTAAGAATTAAATTCAGAGATTTTCAGACACGGGTCATTGCTATGAGTAGGTTCCTAGATATGCTCCAGACTGCTATGTCGTCAGCATGTTGAGAGTGGAGTGTATATATATTAAGTTGGAAAATGGGATGTCATTAACAAACATGATGTATAGGAGTGACGAAAGGACGGATCCTTGCGGTACTCCTGTCGTGATATTGAATGTTTTTGATAACGTATCATTAACTTTAACTGTTGTATCGGTTAGAAAGTTCGATATCCATCTAATTTTAGTTTCATTAATATTTAGCTTTTGTAACTTATGTTTAATGGCATTGTGCCAAACACTATCAAATGATTTTCTAACACCTAAAAAATATACACCTACTGTGGTTTGATTATTATTAAATGATTTGTAAATTTATCATTTAAAAAGAGATTATTTTTTTAGTTACCAGACAAATTTACTCGTCCAAAAGCCATACATAATGGGAAAAGTATAAAGCACACATTATACTATTTACAGTTTGATTGTTTTCACAAGAAAATGTAATAAATAGGGGCTTAATTCTTAATTATATATAGAGGTTTTCCACAATAATGCCACCCCCCCACGTGGC